GCCATAAGGAAATGGCCGAGATCCCATTGCTCCGCGTCGTGTCCGTGTCCAGCGAGGATCCGGTAACGGGGCTGGGGCCGGAAGGGGTTGGGAAAGCTCCGCTCCCGGTTCCGGTTCCGGTTGCTTTGACCCCCGTTGTCCCCTCAGCAACACCCGGCCCGGAACTTGCTGCAGCCGGAGGCCGGCGGGCGATGGCGGGGGGCGAAGGCGGGAGAGCGGCAGATCAGCGTGGAGCTGGAGGTGAATGGGGGGCTATGGGGCCTATAGGGGGGCCTATGGGGCCTATAGAGGGGCCTATGGGGCCTACAGAGAGGCCTATGGGGGTTCATATAGGGGGTCTTACTGAGGGGCCTATGGGGTCTATGGGGGGGCCTATAGAGAGGTTTATGGGGCCTATAGGGTGTCTTATAGAGGGGCCTGAGGGGCCTATAAGGGGCCTAAAGGGGGCCTTATAGAGGGGCCTATGGGGGCTATAAGGGGGCCTATAGGGGGTCTTATAGAGGGGCCTATGGGGCTTATGGGGGGGCCTATAGTGGGGCCTATGGGGGCCCTAAAGGGGGTCTTATAGAGGGGCCTATGGAGGCTATAGAGGGCCTATGGGGCCTATAGGGGGTCTTATAGAGGGGCCTATGGGGCCTATAGGAGGTCCTATAGAGAGGCTTATGGGGCCTATAGAGAGGCCTATGGGGCCTATAGGGGGTCTTATAGAGAGGCTTATGGGGCCTATAGAGGGGTCTATAGGGGGGTTGGGTGCTCTATGGGGTCCCTGTGTCTCCTCTATGGGCTTTAGGGGATCCGTGTCTCCCCTCTATGTACCCCTCTGTACCCCTATATACTCCCTATGTACCCTGTATATATCCCTATATACCTCTGTGTACCCCTATGTGTCCCCTATATGCCCATGTATGTGTTCTATATATTGCTGTATGCTGCTATAGACTTCTATATGCCCCCTTTATACCCTTATAGACTCCTATAGAACCCTATATGCCTCCTATAGAACCCTATATGCCTCCTATAGAACCCTATATGCGTGCTATAAACTCCTATATGCCTTCTATAGACCCCTATATGCCTTCTATAGACTCCTATATATTCTTATAGATCCTAAATAACTGCTATATACCCCTATATATCCCCATATAGCCCCATATACTTCTGTATATCCCTATATACTCCTAAGTAATCCTTATCTATTCCTATATATCTCTGTATAACCCTTATACATCCCCTGTATACGCCTATGTGCCCCCTATACATTTTTATATAGACTTATATACCCCTTATATATCCCTATATACTCCTGTAGACCGCTATATACCCCATATAGACTCCTATGGACCCCCTATATACCCCTTGTAGATCTGTATGTACTCTATAGATCTCTATAGACCCTCTATAGATCCCTATATACCCCCTATAGCCTCCCTATATACCCCCTATAGACCCCTTTATAACGCCTATAGACCCCTATATACCCCCATAGACCCCTATATAACCCCTATAGACCCCTGTATACCCCCATAGACCCCTATATAACCCCTATAGACCCCCATAGACCCCCCATAGACCCCCATAGACCCCCTATAGACCCCCATAGACCCCCCATAGACCCCCATAGACCCCCCATAGACCCCCATAGACCCCCTATAGACCCCCATAGACCCCCTATAGACCCCCATAGACCCCCCATAGACCCCCATAGACCCCCATAGACCCCCTATATACCCCCTATGGCCCCTCTGTCGCCCCCTACAGGTCCCCATGGGGCAGCGCCTCCAGCGCCTGCTCATTGGCAACAACGGCTCCGCCTTCGTCGAGGCCCTGGTGGGCACCCAGGAGGGGGGCAGCTTCCAGGTGAGCCCATAGAGACCCATAGAGACCCCATAGAGACCCATAGAGACCCATAGAGACCCATAGAGACCCCATAGAGACCCATAGAGACCCCATAGAGACCTATAGAGACCCCATAGAGACCCATAGAGACCCATAGAGACCCATAGAGACCCATAGAGACCCATAGAGACCCCATAGGGACCCATAGAGACCCATAGAGACCCATAGAGACCCATAGAGACCCATAGAGACACATAGAGACCCATAGAGACCCATAGAGACACATAGAGACCCATAGAGACCCCATAGAGACCCCATAGAGACCCATAGAGACCCATAGAGACCCATAGAGACCCCATAGAGACCCATAGAGACCCATAGAGACCCATAGAGACCCCATAGAGACCCATAGAGACCCATAGAGACCCCATAGAGACCCCATAGAGACCCATAGAGACCCCATAGAGACCCATGGAGACCCATAGAGACCCCATAGAGACCCCATAGAGACGCCATAGAGACCCCATAGAGACCCGTAGAGATCCATAGGGACACACAGAGATGCCATAGAGACCCATAGGGACCCATAGCGACTCCTGTATACCCCCCATAGACCCCTATAGACCCCCCATAGCCCCCTATATACCCCCCATAGCCCCCTATATACCCCCCATAGCCCCCTATAGACCCCCCATAGACCCCTATAGACCCCCCATAGGTGCTGCTGCCCACTGCCGCCTTCATGACCCCCCGTGAGAGCCGCGAGGGGGCGGAGCCTCGCCGGGGGCGGAGCTTCGGGCCCGAGGCCCTGGTGAAGGGCGCCCTGGAGGGGAGCTGGGACCGCCTGCGCCTCGTCTGCACCCAGCCCTACAGCCAGGTGGGGCTATGGGGGGTATGGGGGGTATGGGGGGCTATGGGGGGCTATGGGGGGTATGGGGGCTATGGGGGGCTATGGGGGCTATGGGGCTATGGGGGCTATGGGGTCTATGGGGGCTATGGGGGCTATGGGGGGCTATGGGGGCTATGGGGCTATGGGGGGCTATGGGGGTATGGGGGTATGGGGGCTATGGGGGCTATGGGGGCTATGGGGGGCTATGGGGGTATGGGGGCTATGGGGTCTATAGAGGCTATGGGGTCTATGGGAGCTATGGGGTCTATGAGAGCTATGGGCGCTATGGGGTCTATAGGGGCTGTGGGGTCTATAGGGGCTATGGGGTCTATGAGAGCTATGGGCGCTATGGGGTCTATAGGGGCTATGGGGTCTATGGGGGCTATGGGGTCTATAGGGGCTATGGGGTCTATAGGGGCTATGGGGTCTATGAGAGCTATGGGCGCTATGGGGTCTATAGGGGCTATGGGGTCTATAGGGGCTATAGGGTCTATAGGGACTATGGGGTCTATGGGGGCTATGGGGTCTATAGGGGCTATGGGGTCTATGGGGACTATGGGGTCTATGGGGTCTCTGTTCCCCCAGGATCGTCCCTTTGGTCTCTCCTATGTTCGTCTCTTCGGCCCCCCGGAGGATGCGGCTCCTGCTGAGGCCCCGGTGAGTGACCCCCGGCTGCCCCATAGCGACCCATAGAGACCGTGTAGAGACCCATTGAGAGCCATAGGGACCCATAGAGGCCCCATAGACACACATAGGGACCCCATAGAGACCCATAAACACTCCATGGATACCCATAGGGATCGATATGGACCCACAGAGACCCATACGGACCCCATAGCACCCCATAGAGACCCCATATTGAGCCACACTGACCCACAGCCCCACCCCCACCCCTTATCTGCCCCATAAGTACCCTCCTGACCCCCTATCTGAACCCCCCACCGCATAACTGCCCCCATAACTGCTCAATAAGTGCCCCATAGCTTCCCCATAACTGGCCCATAGCTGCCCCATAACCCCCTATAGCTTCCCCCCCATAGCTACCCCATAACTGCTCCATAAGTACCCCATAACCACCCCATAGCTGCCCTATAACCACCCCAGAGCTGCCCCATAAGTACCTCATAGCTTCCCCATAGCTGCCCCATAACTTCCCCATAATCACCCCATAGCTTCCCCATAAATGCCCCATAACTGTTCCATAACCGCCCCATAGCCGCCCCATAGCTCCCCTATAACCGCCCCATAGCTGCCCCGTAACCTCCCCATAACCACCCCATAACCGCCCCATAGCTGCCCCGTAAGTACCCCATAGCTGCCCCATAAGTACCCCATAACCACCCCATAACCACCCATAGCCACCCTATATCTGCCCCATAGATGCCCCATAACTGCCCCATAGCTTCCCCATAGCTTCCCCATAGCTTCCCCATAGCCGCCCCATAGCTGCCCCATAACCCCCCCATTTCCCCCCCACCAGGTTCGCCGCTTGGGCCTTTTCACCCTCCGGGAGGGGGGGCCCTCCCCCCTGCGCCCCCCCGGGGCCCTCTTCTACCAGCGCCCCCCTTCCCCCACAGGTAAGAGCCCCTCCCCCCTATAGTGGGCGTGACCTCAACAGGAGGGGGCGTGGCCTCACCAAGCCCCGTCCCCTCCCCTTTTAGCCCCCTCCAAGGCCCCTCCCCCAGGCCCCACTTACGCCGATGCCGCCCTCAAGGCCAGTGCTGGCTCCACCCCCAAACCCCGGGTAAGCCCCGCCCCCTCCCCACAAACCCCGCCCCCTCTTAAGCCCCACCCCCTTTAACCCCCCCTTTACCCCATTACAGCCCCCCAAGCGCCGCCCCTCCCCGCCTCCTCCCACCGCAGCCAATGGGACGCCTCGGAAACAGCCCCGCCCTCTCACCCCCAAAGCCACGCCCCCTCCCACCCAAACCACGCCCCCTCCGGCCGCCATCTTGGCCGGGGTGGTGGTGGCCCTGAGTGGTTTCGAGAACCCCCTCCGCGGCCAATTGCGCGCCGCCGCCGTCGCCATGGGAGCCGAGTACAGCCCTGATTGGACGCCGCGCTGCACCCACCTCGTGTAAGCCCCGCCCCTTCCCCTTAGCCACGCCCCTTTGCTTTAGCCCCACCTCTTTCCCCTCAATCCCTGTACCTTAGGCTAAGCCCTTCCCTTTTCCCCCCTTAGCTCCGCCCCCTTCCCCTTAGCTCCGCCCCTAAACCCCTCCCCTTTCACGCCTTTAGCCCCGCCTCTTTCCCAGCCCTTAGCCCCGCCCCTTGTGCTTCACCCCATCTTTCTCCCTTAGCCACGCCCCTTCCCTTTAGCCACGCCCCCTTCCCTATCTTAGCCCTGCCCCTTTAGCCCCAACCCCTTTCCCCTCTTAGCCCTGCCCCTTACCCCTCTTTTTAGCCCCGCCCCTTGCCCCCACCTCTTACCTCTGTAGCCCCGCCCCTTTTCCATCTTTGCCCCGGCCCTTCCCCTTCCTAACCCCTCCCCTTTCACCTCTTCTGCCCCTCCCCTTTCTCCACTAGTCCCGCCCCTTCCCTTCTTCAGCCCCGCCCCTTTCCCCCTGTCTCTTATCCCTGCCCCTTGTTCCTCTTTAGCCCCTCCCCTTCCCCTCCCTTTGGCCCCACCCCTTTCCCTTTCCCCCTCCCCTTTCCCTACCTCCTCTTAGCCCCACCCCTCACCTTAACCCCATCCCTTCCCCTCTTTAGCCCCGCCCCTTTCTCATTGTTTCCTCTTCCCCTCCCCCCCTTTAGCTCCGCCTTCTCCCGCACCCCCAAAGCCGCCCGGGCCCGGGCCATGGGGGGGCTCCTCGTGAGCCCTGATTGGATCTGGGACTGCCAGAGGCGGGGCCGCCGCCTGCCCTGCCGCCCGTGAGCACAAGACCCGCCCCTTGGGCCCTAAGCCACGCCCCCTATTCCCTAAGTCCCTCCTCCTGTCCTTAAGCCCTGCACCCAACACTATGGGACCTGAATGGGCTGTGGAAACCACGCCCCCTGGGGGCTAAACCACGCCCCCTAGCGGCTATACCACGCCCCCATTGGCTAAACCACGCTTCCGTTGACTAAGCCACGCCCCCTTTTGGTTAAGCCCCACCCCCGTCTAGAAGCCCTGTATCAACCCCTATGGGACCTGAATGGGCTGTGGAAACCACGCCCCCATTGGCTAAGCCACGCCCCCTATTGGCTAACCCCCTCCCCTGTCTATAAGCCCTGTACCAACCCCTAATGGGACCTGAATGGGCTGCGGAAGCCACGCCCCCTGGGGGGTTGGAGTCTTCTGATTGGCCAATGGGGTGGGGGGGGTGTATAGGCATAACCTCGGCTATGCTCCACCCCCTTGTGGGCGTGGCCTCATTGCCCCCCCCTTCAGGTACCTCCTGGATGGCTCCGCCTCCTCCGGCAGCGATGGGGAGGAGCCTGATGAGGCCACGCCCCCTCCAGACCCAGCCCCTCACGTGACCAGTGGTAAGCCACGCCCCCCTCCTCCATTCCCCCCCCTTTAAAGGGGCCACAGCCCCACATCGACCCCGTCCAATCCCATTGCAGGAGCTGATTCGGGCGATGCCAGCGACCAATCAGAGCCGTGAGTGTTGGGGGGTCCCCTCCTCCCGTTATTCCTTCCCCCCCCCCCCCCATTGCTCTGATCCATCCCATTCCATAGGGATGATCCCTATGGGGGCTCCACAGAGGAGAACAGTGAGGAAGAGGAGGAGGAGGAGGAGCCCATTCCCCCCTTGCCTGGTGGGTCTGGGGCTATAATAGCCCATTATAACCCATAATAACCCATTATAACCCATAATAACCCATTATAACCCATAATAACCCATTATAAACCCATTATACCCCCATTATAACTCATAATAACCTATTATAACCCATTATAACCCCATTATACCCCATTATAACCGATAATAACTTATTGCAACCTATTAGTATGACACCATTATAGCCCATAATACCCCATTATAGCCCATAATACCCCATTATAGCCCATAATACCCCATTATAACCCATAATACCCCATTATAACCCCATTATAACACACTATAATCCCATTATACCCCATTATAACCCCATTATACCCCATTATAATCCCATTATACCATATTATAACCCATTATAAGACCCCTATACCCCATTTTACCCCATAATAACCCATTATAACTTGTTATAACCCTATTTTACCCCATTACAACCCATTATAATTCCTTATACCCCATAATAACCCATAATACCCCATTATAATCTCATTATACCCCATTATAACCCCATTATACCCCATTATAATCCATTATACACCATTATACACAATTTACACCATTATAACCCATTATAACCCCATTATACCCCAATATACCCTAATATAACCCCATTATACCCTATTATAATCCATTATAAGCTTTTATACCCCATTATAACCTGTTATACCCCAATATAAGCGCATTATAACCCCATTATACCCCAGTATAACCCCATTATCCCCCATTATAACCCCATTATCCCCCATTATAACCCATAATACCTCGTTTTAACCCCATTATAACCCAGTATAAACCCATTATAGCCAAGTACAACCCTTCCATGACCCTACGTGACCCCTTGTGGCCCCGCCCCCTTTTGCAGACTTCTTCCGGGGCCTCTCGTTCCTATTGGCCGGCAGCTTCCCGGAGGGGGAGGGGCGATGGCTGCGGCGCCTCGTGATCGCCTTCGGGGGGTGAGTGGGGCCCACTGGTTTATAGTGGGGGGTAATGGGGTTATATTGGGGATAATGGGGTTATATTGGGTTATAATGGGGCTATACTGGGTTATAATGGGGCTATACTGGGGTATAATGGGGCTATACTGGGTTATAATTGGGGATAATTGGGTATAATTTGTTATAATGGGGGATAATGGGGTTATAATGGGGTGTAATGGGGGATAATGGGGTTATAATGGGTTATGATGGGGAATAATGAGGTTATAATGGGGTATAATGGGTTATAATGGGGTTTTAATGGGGTATAATGGATAATGGAGATAATGGGGTTATAATGGGGATAATGGGGTTATAAGGGATAATAATGGAGTTATAATGGGTTATAATGGGGTATAATGTGGGATAATGTGTTATAATGGGGTTATAATGGGGTACAATGGGTTATAATGGGGAATAATGAGATTATAATGGGGGATAATGGGTTATAATGGGGTACAATGGGTTATAATGGGATTATAATGGAGTATAATGGGGTTATAGTGGGGGATAACAAGGGATAATTGGATATAATGGGATTGTAATGGGTATTATGGGGTTATAATGCATAATAATGGGGGATAATGGGATATAGTGGGGTATAATGGGCGTATAATGGAGTGTAAAGGGTTATAATGGGGTGTAATAGCGTTATAATGGGGGATAATGGGGTTATAGTGGGTTCTCCTGGGGGCACTGGGAGGTGGGACTGGGCCCACTGGTTTATATTAGGCCAGGCTCTGCTTTACCCTGAGGGCTTCAAATGAGTTGTGTTGGGTCTTACTGGAAGGTTAGACTGGGCTATACTGGTTTATAGTGGTTCATACTGGAAGCTTGCACTGGCTTATATGGCTCCATAGTGGTTTATATGATGGCACGTGCTGGTTCAGAGTGCTTTGTGTTCGCTTGTGTTGCTTTATACTGGTCCAAAATGGTCCATATTGGTCCATACTGGTCCATACTGGTCCATACTGGTGCAGGACCCTGGCCCCCTCCATGAACGATGCAGTGACCCACGTGGTGACAGCGGACGGCTGGGACGAGGCCTTTAACCAGGTGGGGGCGTGGCTTAAAGCCCATTGGGGGCGTGGCTTAACGGGAGGCGGTTCGGCCTCTCACACCTAAGCTCCGCCCCCCCCCCCGCAGGCGCTGGAGCTCCGCCCCTCACTGACCATCGTGCGCCCCCATTGGCTGCTGCGCTGCGGCGAGCAACAGCGCCCCCTCCCGGCCCAGCCCTTCGCCGTTGTGCCGACCGACGTGGGGTCGCTGTGACGTCATCACGCTGGCCCCCCCCCCATCCGAACCCCCCCCCCCCTTCGTTTTTGAGGTGAATTAAAGTGATTTTGGGTAATTTCATTTGTGTAAAGGGGGGGGACCACACAATGAGGGGTGTTGCTGCTTTAAGGGGGGTCATCACACTGAAGCCATTGCCCCTTTAAGCCCATTGCCCCTTTAACATCATAGCCCCTTTAAGATCATAGCCTTTTTAAGCTGTAGACCCTTTAAGTCTATTACCCCTTTAAGGCCATTGCCCCTTTATGGTCATTGCCCCTTTAAGCCCATTGACCCTTTAAGGCCGTAGCCCCTTTAAGCTCATTGCCCCTTTAAGCCATTGCCCCTTTAAGGCCATAGCCCCTTTAAGGCCATAGCCCATTTAAGCCCATTGCCCCTTTAAGTCCATTGCCCCTTTAATGCCATTGCCCCTTTAAGCTCATTGCCCCTTTAATGCCATTGCCCCTTTAAGTCCATTGTCCCTTTAATGCCATTGCCCCTTTAAGCTATTGCCCCTTTAAGCCCATTGTCCCTTTAATGCCATTGCCCCTTTAAAGCCATTGCCCCTTTAAGCCCATTGCCCCTTTAAGGGCTGCCTCTTAAAGGGGCCACAATCCCATTTCCGGCCCCCCCCTCAATTCCCCCCCTCCCCATTCCCCACATGGAGGCAACCAATCACATTGAGCTTTATTGTGGGCCCCACCAGCTCTGGAACATGCTAAGAACATGCTAAGAACATACATAGGCTGGGGGAGAGGGAACCAATAGGAGGCCGCAATAAATAGAGGGTGGGGGAGGGGGGGAGGTGCCGCGATGACGTCAGCGAAGCAAGAGGGGGAGGGGCAACAGCAGGAGGGGGAGGGACCGCAGTGGGGGAGGGGCGGCCCCATGTGGCCCCACGGTGACCGGAAACACGTTGGGGGCGGGAGGGGGAGGGGCAGGGCAGAGCGGGGGCGGGGCTTCACCCCTCAGGATGCCGCTATTGGCTGGCTGCGCCATGATGTCATCAGGGAGGCGGGGCTTGGCGGTGGGGCCCACCGAGGTGGTGGCGTCTCCATTGGCTTCAATGGGGTCACCTGAAGTGACCTTGGGGTCCATGGTGACATCTGATTGGTTGGTCCCCTCCATAATGACATCCCTATGGGTGACACCCATGACCCCATCACCCCCTTGGGGCGTCCCATTGGGTGCCATAGGGGTGGTGGCATCTCCATAGGCTTCAATGGGGGCACCCAATGTGGCCTTAGGGTCCATGGTGACATCTGATTGGTTGGTCCCCTCCATAATAACATCCCTAGGGGTGACACCCATGTCCCCATCACCCCCTTGGGGTGTCCCATTGGGTGCTATGGGGGTGGTGGCATCTCCATAGGCTTCAATGGGGGCACCCATTGGGTCCCTATGGTCCATGGTGACATCTGATTGGTTGGTCCCCTCCATAAGAACATCCCTATGGGTGACACCCATGTCCCCATCACCCCCTTGGGGCGTCCCATTGGGTGCCATAGGGGTGGTGGCATCTCCATAGGCTTCAATGGGGGCACCCAATGTGGCCTTAGGGTCCATGGTGACATCTGATTGGTTGGTCCCTTCCATAATGACATCCCTAGGGGTGACACCCATGTCCCCATCACCCCCTTGGGGTGTCCCATTGGGTGCTATGGGGGTGGTGGCATCTCCATAGGCTTCAATGGGGGCACCCATAGAGTCCCTATGGTCCATGGTGACATCTGGTTGGTTGGTCCCCTCTATAATGACATCCCTATGTGTGGTACCCATAGCTCCATCCCCTCCTTGGGGTGTCCCATTGGGTGCTATGGGGGTGGTGGCATCTCCATAGGCTTCAATGGGGGCACCCATAGGGTCCCTATGGTCCATGGTGACATCTGATTGGTCCGTCCATCCCATAATAACATCCCTATGGGTGACACCCATGTCCCCATCACCCCCTTGTGGTGTCCCATTGGGTGCCATAGGGGTGGTGGCATCTCCATAGGCTTCAATGGGGGCACCCACAGGGTCCCTGTGGTCCATGGTGACATCTGATTGGTCCGTCCATCCCATAATAACATCTCTATGGGTGACACCCATGTCCCCATCACCCCCTTGGGGTGTCCCATTGGGTGCTATGGGGGTGGTGGCATCTCCATAGGCTTCAATGGGGGCACCCATAGGGTCCCTATGGTCCATGGTGACATCTGATTGGTCCGTCCATCCCATAATAACATCCCTATGGGTGACACCCATGTCCCCATCACCCCCTTGTGGTGTCCCATTGGGTGCCATAGGGGTGGTGGCATCTCCATAGGCTTCAATGGGGGCACCCACAGGGTCCCTGTGGTCCATGGTGACATCTGATTGGTCGGTCCCTTCCATAATAACGTCCCTATGGGTGCCCCCCATAGATCCATCCCCTCCATGGGGCGTCCCATTGGGTGCTATGGGGGTGGTGGCATCTCCATAGGCTTCTATTGGGGCACCCACAGGGTCCCTATGGTCCATGGTGACCCCAGATGACTCCGTCCATCCCATAATAACATCCCTATGGGTGACACCCATGTCCTCATCACCCCCTTGTGGTGTCCCATTGGGTGCTATGGGGGTGGTGGCATCTCCATAGGCTTCAATGGGGTCACCCATAGGGTCTCTATGTCCTTGGGTGACCCCAGATGGGTCCGTCCATCCCATAATAACATCCCTATGGGTGACACCCATGGCCCCATCATCATTTTGGGGTGTCCCATTGCGTGCTATGGGGGTGGTGGCATCTCCATAGGCTTCAATGGGAGCACCCATAGGGTCTCTATGGCCTTGGGTGACCCCAGATGAGTCCGTCCATCCCATAATAACATCCCTATGGGTGACACCCATGTCCTCATCACCCCCTTGTGGTGTCCCATTGGGTGCTATGGGGGTGGTGGCATCTCCATAGGCTTCAATGGGGGCACCCATAGGGTCCATATGGCCCATGGTGACATCTGATTGGTCGGTCCATCCCATAATAACATCCCTATGGGTGACACCCATGGCCCCATCACCCATTTGAGGCGTCCCATTGGGTGCTATGGGGGTGGTGGCATCTCCATAGGCTTCAATGGGGGCACCCATTGGGTCCCTATGGTCCATGGTGACCCCAGATGACTCCATCCATCCCATAATAACATCCCTATCGGTGACACCCATGGCCCCATCACCCCCTTGTGGTATCCCATTGGGTGCTATGGGGGTGGTGGCATCTCCATAGGCTTCAATGGGGGCACCCATAGGGTCCCTATGGTCCATGGTGACCACCGATGAGTCGGTCCATCCCATAATAACATCCCTATGGGTGACACCCATGGCCCCATCACCCCCTTGGAGTGTCCCATTGGGTGCTATGGGGGTGGTGGCGTCTCCATAGGCTTCAATGGGAGCACCCATAGGGTCCCTATGGTCCATGGTGACCATGGATGAGTCGGTCCATCCCATAATAACATCCCTAAGGGTGACACCCATGGCCCCATCACCTCCTTGGGGTGTCCCATTGGGTGCTATGGGGGTGGTGGCATCTCCATAGGCTTCAATGGGGGCACCCAATGTGGTCTTAGGGTCCATGGTGACATCTGATTGGTTGGTCCCCTCCATAATAACATCCCTATTGGTGACACCCATGACCCCATCACCCATTTGGGGTGTCCCATTGGGTGCTATAGGGGTGGTGGCATCTCCATAGGCTTCAATGGGGGCACCCATAGGGTCCCTATGTCCTTGGGTGACCCCAGATGGGTCCGTCCATCCCATAATAACATCCCTATGGGTGACACCCATGGCCCCATCATCATTTTGGGGTGTCCCATTAGGTGCCATAGGGGTGGTGGCATCTCCATAGGCTTCAATCGGAGCACCCATAGGGTCCCTATGGTCCATGGCGACCATGGATGAGTTGGTCCATCCCATAATAACATCCCTATGGGTGACACCCATGGCCCCATCATCATTTTGGGGTGTCCCATTGGGTGCCATAGGGGTGGTGGCATCTCCATAGGCTTCAATGGGAGCACCCATAGGGTCCCTATGGTCCATGGTGACCATGGATGAGTCGGTCCATCCCATAATAACATCCCTATGGGTGACACCCATGTCCCCATCACCCCCTTGTGGTGTCCCATTGGGTGCTATGGGGGTGGTGGCATCTCCATAGGCTTCAATGGGGGCACCCATAGGGTCCCTATGGTCCATGGTGACCATGGATGAGTCGGTCCATCCCATAATAACATCCCTATGGGTGACACCCATGGCCCCATCATCATTTTGGGGTGTCCCATTGGGTGCCATAGGGGTGGTGGCATCTCCATAGGCTTCAATGGGGGCACCCATAGGGTCCCTATGGCCTTGGGTGCCCCCCCCATTGCCCTCCATGGTTGGCTCCGCCTTGGCCCCATTGCAGTCAATGGCCCCCTTGGCGCTGACGTTGGCTCCTCCCACGGCGGTGACGTCATCGGCGTCCAGGGGGCGTGGTCTCGGCTCGGTGACGTCGGCGCAGGCGGCGGGGGGCGGGGCTTGGGGGCAGCTCCACGGGGTCGGAGCCCCCCTGGAGGGTCCCGGGGAGGCTGGGGGAGGGGAGAGGGGGGGGTCAGGACCCATAGGGAACCATAGAGCCCCATAGAGACCCATATTGACCCATAGAGACCCCATAGAGACCCATAGAGACCCCATAGAGACCCATAGAGACCCATAGGGACCCCATAGAAACCCATAGGGACCCATAGAGACCCCATAGAGACCCCATAGAGATCCCATAGAGACCCATAGGGACCCATAGAGACTCCATAGAGACCCCATAGAGACCCATAGCACCCCCAAACACCCCATAGCCTTTATGGGACCCATTAGCACCCTATAGAACCCTATGGGACCTCCTTGACCCCATAGCACCCCATAGACCCCCGTAGCACCCATAGCACCCAATAGCACCCATAGACCCCCACAGACCCCCCATACCCCCCCGTAGCACCCTATAGACCCCCATAGCACCCA